AAAATGTTTTTCATTTCCTTTAGGTACTGCGTGAGGAGTATGGATTACGGCAAGAATCCAAGATTCAATGTCGCACTATACCGCAATCTGTTAGATCACTTAGGCCCGGATGATGTACGTCGTAGCTTTAAACTTTTCTTCATTTAAATTATTTATACATTACGCTTTCGTTAACCTGATTTAAATTTTATCGCAGTTCGTCTGGAGACCATATTTGGGTTTGGGCCATGATCCAAACCCAGAGGATGCATCAATTTGGACCGCGAAGACTGCAATCATTCGGTTCAACATTATGGAGATGCACCACATCGACCGTGTGAAGATGCAGTTCGGAATGCATCAAGAGATACCAAGTGATCCAACTTGTTTGTCCCCATGGCATCTTAAAAGGGTTGACGCCCAGTGGGGTCTTACCAACTGGAAAGACTTCGCTCCGGAATGGTGTAAGATGTGGCAGAGGCGTCACCGCTATGTCTTGCAATTCCCGGTTTTCCTTAATCATGGTAATATGCGACACACGGATTAATATTTATCTTGGTACAAGTCGGTTAGTAACCCTGAAATGCACGTGTCTCATCCAAGGTACTTGGTTGACCTACGCACCACAATGGGCACAACCCTCGTTTCCACAACAACAAACCCAAAACCCATCAACCTCCCACCAACCCCCAAGAAGAAACAGACCCACAAACACCCAACCACAGTCCCCACCACAACACAATTACACTCAAATGCCACACAACCAACCACAATCACCACCTCACTACCAATACCCCGATATGCCTCACACCCAACCACAATACCAATCACAATACCAGCACACCCACATACCTCACACACAATTTCATTCTTCCGTATATCCCAATATGGCCCCCTCAACATCCAGCCTTAGCCCTGATATGAGAATGCCGGAAGATTACGAACAAACCGACCCAGCCTACCATCAACCACAATATCACCAAACCACCCAACATCCTCAATACCAAACACCCCAAGATCCATTTCCTTTCTACCCACCGTACTCAGACGATCAATGCTACAGACCCACCATGGAACCCCACCCACCGCCAATACGACCAAACTTTGAGAGTATGGGTAACCGACTGTACCAAAGCAGATCTTCTGGATATGGAGATCTGACTGATTTTATGGATCTGGACCGCATTGACTTCGCTGGGCCATCGACCCTGCTGCAACAGGAAATGCGATGACACCCAGCACAGGAAAGACGAGGACGGGGATGCGGAACCGGGGGTCATTACCGGGTTCCGGGGGATCACTGATTTATCTATTTTTTTATGTATTTTTTTTCTGTATTTTTTATATGTTTTTTTTATCTATTTTTTTTATTTGTTTTTTTAATGTAATACAGTTGGATGTAATTATTTTTTTATAATAAAAAGTCCATTTTGTTGATCCTGTATCCAACACGCAACGCACCAGACAAAAGAAAAAAATTCAAATTTTGCCCTAATTTAACACCTAGGCGCCATCTCACTTGGCTTAGGGCATGCCCTAAGCACATAGGCGCCAAGTGAGATGGAGCCTCCCCTTAAACAATGGGAGTAGGCGCCAATTCAGATGGCTCCTCCTTTGGGGAGTCATCTGAAACATGGTTATTTGCGTAATTTTTTCCGTAACGCGGTTATTTGCAATTTTTTTTAATACATGGTTATTCAAAAAAAAATTCCCAACCTAATATTAAATGATTAAATAATCATTAACAAATATAATTCAATTAGTCTTACTCATCACACCACTGAATTCTACACTTTTGCTCACACACCTCCAACACCTTAATTATACTCTTAAGACCACTACCTCACACCAAGGGTATCCAAAATACCCCAAAACACCAAACAATACCACATAATCACCAAATACCAAATAAATAAATTACGAAAAGTAAATAAAATAAGTTGGGGCGTTATAATAGACATGTAGTACCCTATAATACAAGATTGTTATTGAAGTACCAAGATCATATAAATATGGAATGGTGTAATCAAAGTACTTCGATCAAATATCCTTTCAAATATATACACAAATGGTATGATTTAATAATTGCACCCATAGTTCCTTTTAAATGAATGTTATCTAATGATATTGAACATGTTGATAAGATCAAACAATATCTTGATTGCAAATATGTCTCTCCAATTGAAGAATCTTGGAGAATTTTCTCTTATAACATTCATGGAAGGAAGCCAGTTGTCGAACATATGTTTTTCCATCTCATTTGGGAGAAATCTGTGTACTACTCTGATTTTGACCGAATGAAAAATATATTGGAAAAAACAAGTGTTACAGAATCCATGTTCTCATTGCGGTTGATTGCAAATGGGAAATATGAAGAGGCTAGACAATTAACATACGATTAATTCGTCACTAAGTTTGTGTATGAAAATAGAAAAAGATGTTGGAAGTCGCGGATAATAGGATTTATAATAGGACATTTGATATGGGTGTCACCTTCTACTGGAGAATGTCTTAACCCTCATCTGATGTTGATTGTTGTAAAGAGACCAACAACTTATGAAGAAATTCAAAAGGTTAGTGACACTCAATATGACACATTTAGTGATGCATGCTTTGAAATGGATTTCCTTGAAAATTATAAGGAATACATTTGAGCTATTAAAGAAGTAAGTAAGTGAGGGTCAGGACATTTCCTCATAAAATTGTTTGTGGTTATGCTTCTATCCAACAATATAAACAAGTATGCTCATGTTTAAAAGGAGTTATGGGTTTTATTATCAGAAGGGTTATTGCATGGACAATGACAATTGGCCAATAATTCATGTCAGAAACATATATTATAACAACACTTGATGGTATATCTTTCCTTTCATTTTTCAACTCTTCAGACAAATGTCAAAATATCCAACTTTATAAATCCTATAAATTATTGTTATTACATTATACAATTATACACCATAACTCGTTTGCTTTGATTAACAAAATATTTAACATGAACTTAATATTACATAATCGATATTGAGTGAATTAGAAGTTTGGAATCTGACTTTAATTGAGATTGAAACACTACTATAAGTCAATCGCATAAGTCTTAAAGACTTCAAACCAATTTCATATCCAAACGGCTTCTTCAACAATTGGGAAACTGAATCATCTTTGAAGAGAGAAGTTACAATGTGTAAGCCATAAATGAAGAATTTGGAAAACTCTACAATGCTCTAACGAGTATTTTACCGTCATTGAGGTTGAGATTGTTAGATATCACTGAGGTGATTAGGAAGTGAGATGAGATTTCTCATATCTAGATGATGATTTATAGGTAGAAGTTGCACAAGGTAGTGATTAAGTGAAAAGTTGTAAACTGTGATTGTTTAGAGTTTGAATTAATAATGTCATAGTGAATTTCCTTCCTGGCTTGGTAGCCCTCAGATGTAGGTGATGTTGCACCGAACTGGATTAACAACTTCATGTGTTATTTATCATCCTGCAGTTTAGTTTCAGTATCTCTTACAATCTGTATGTCAACAAATGTTGTAACACCTGAAGTGACATTGTTCTGATGTTGGAACATCAGTATTAACATATGTTGCATGTATCAAAAATTTCGATTAATTTTTATTATGATTTAAATAAATTAAAAAAGGCAACACTTAGGGACCTTATGAGATGACTCCTCTAAATTGCATTAAACCTACAGACCATCTCATATGATGCCTATCTTAATTTTTTTTCACTCATTCGCCATCTCATATAGGGGTGTTCGCGGTATGGTTTGGACAGATTTGAAGCAAAAAATTACCCGAACCGCAACAGAAAAAAACATGCGATTCAGTTTGATTCGATTGACTTTTAAAGATAAAATCGAACCAAACCAAACCAAACTAATACGGTTTGGATTGATTCTGTTGATTCGGTTTTTTACAAAAAGATTATTGAATCATACTTACACATATAGAGAAAAATATAATTTTGTGTTTAATCGTTCATACATTACCATAAAAAATTTATAATTGTCAAAATAAGTTTATAATTTGATACATAAAATTGCGTATTATAATTTTATCTAAATTTAAAAAATGATATACATAAAATTGCATTCTTAAATGTTATATAAAGAATAAAATAAAATATATTTTATGAAAATAATATTTATAAATTAATAATATTTCATTTCTTATGATTTGTAAATTAAAATAAATATCATACAAAGAATATGATAAAATATACACATAATACATGTTGATTTCTCTAAAGAATTAAATAAATATATATATTGGTTAGTATAATTTAATAACACAATACAGTTTAATTCGGTTTGCAAAATACAAACTGCAAATCAAACCAAACCACGTGATTCCATTAGAAAATGACTCAAACACATCCGAATCAAATACAACTTTTTACAGTTTTAATTTAATTCGGTTTAATTTTACAATTTTATATTGGACCGATTTAATTTTGAACACTCCTAATCTCATATGGTGCCTTCTCTTATATAAAAACGAAACCTAATTATTTTGATAAATAATGAGAAAATATGGTTATTAAAGGAATTTAATTGAAAAGTTAGTTATTGTTGAAAGTTTTTCAAAAGAATAAGCTTGACAAGAGAAATCCCAACACAAACACCACATTATTATCAAATGCACAACAAACCAATAGTTTTGGTAAATAGGTGAGTAATTTATTCCAATAATAATCAGGTTAAGAGGCCACGTCTATTTGAAAGAGTGACAGATGAGAAGTGGGAATGCCATAAACATTCATATGCAATAAGTCATCAACTTTGAATTACTTTAGTCCCTTCTCCCTCAATCGGCACAACAAACAAATGAACTAAATTTAACCATAAGTTTCAACAAAACATGTCGGCTTAATGATCTAGATTTCTAAATAAATAAAAACATGACAACATATCAAAAAGAGTTATTATTTTCATTGAAGATCCAAAGCACAGCATCTCTAACAACACTACACCACTTTTACATGAAAAAAAACACAGAAACTAGAATCTCATTCAGTCACTCACTCCAGTACTTCTCATCAGCATCTTTATCCAACTCTTCCCTATCACTATCCTCATCATCCTCAATTAAAGTCTCCTTAAACCTCACAACATCCTCCACAGCTGCATTCCTAAACAAACCAACATCAGAAGCACCAGATACCATGTGATAGCCACGTGACCTGAGATCCTTAGGCCCATCAAACGGCAAAGCAAAACCAGACAAAAAAACATCATCTTTTTCACTCTTCCTCTTCAACACCTTCCTCTCGGCTTCCGTCAATGCCTCCCTAACTTTCTTATTCCCTGGATCCCACAAATACCCCATACTCGCACTCAGATCCAAAGGTCCCATTTGTATACAATCAACCCCATCAACGGCTACTATCTTATCAATGTTCTTCACTCCTTCTTCTGATTCAACTTGACACATTATCAGAACCTCGTCGAGGTAGTTATTCAAGTAACCTTCGTCGATACCGTAGCTTGAAGCTCGAACGATTGGATGAGCCGACCCACGAACTCCGGTGGGTGGAAAACGGCAAAAGGATACGGCTTTTGCTGCGGATTTGGCGGATTCGACCATCGGGAACATGATTCCCTGTGGGCCTAAATCTAGAGCTTTTTTGGCCCATGTTGCTGTGGTTTCCGGGACGCGGATAATTGCGGCGGTTTGTGAAGCTGCGAGCGCGTGGAGACACGGGAGGGTATCGGAGATGGTTCCATGGCCGTGTTCCATGTCGATGACGACGAAGTCGTAGCCGGAAAGGCCGGCGATTTCGGCGAGGGTTGGGGAGAAGGTGAGGAGGAAGATGCCGTAGAGGGTTTCGCCGGAGCGGAGACGGGCTTTGAGATTGCGGTAGGAAGGGGAGGTTGTGGTGGTGGTGATGGAGGTGGCGGAGTCGTTCGGTAAGGATTTGAGAAGGGATGGGGTGGTGTAGGTTATGGAGAATGGGTTGGGTTTGGATTTGAGATTGAGATTGGATTTTGAGGGGAAAGAAGAGAGGGTTGGGGTTTTTGGTTTTGGTGGTGTGAGAGTGAAGGAGATTGTGGCAGTGTTCGCCATTGTTGTTGTTGAGTTTTGTTTTTGCGAACAAGTGATGAGTGTAGTTGTTGAGGGTGATGGTTTATGTGGTAGATTTGTTTTGACTTTCTCGTTCGGTTTACTATTTTTGAGTTTGTTTTTTTATTCCTTTTTGTTAACTCTTGTTTTTTCTTAAATTCTCGTTACTACTCTATTTCACAATCAGTAATCTGGTTGATCATTTTATAAATATTAAATAAAATGTAGTATAAAATTAAGAGATAAAATAATGTTTTTATTATAATATTTTTATTACATATTGGAAATGAGAAATTTTTATTAATTAAATTAAAAAACTGTATTCAAAATTAAAATAGTCTATTTATTTTGTAGGTTTAATGTACCGTTTAGTCTCTTAACTTCATTTAAGGTTTCAATTTAGTCTTTTATTCAATAAATGTTTGTTTTAAGTCCTTTAAATGTCATTCCATTAATCACATTGGTCATATACGTTAAACTTTGTCATATTTCGTTAACTTATATCTGTGTGGCATGTCAGCTGGTTTTAGGTTATATGACATGAAATTATTTTATATTAGTTTAAAATTAAATTTTAAAAAACAAAAAATTGAAATGTATTTTGTACTCTTAAGTTTCTCTCTTATGCTCTCTTCTCTAATCCTAATCGTCACCTTTTCTTCCTTTGGCCATCACCATTTTCATCACTCCTCGTCGTCATCAACTGTAAAAATCCTCCTCAATTAAATTGAAAAAGCTTAGAGAACTCAGATCTCTAAAACTTCTCATCAATCTACTGTAAAACTCCTCCTCACTGTCAGTGGAAGAATCAAAACTATTAAAGACAGTTGAGAAATGTTCTTCTTACAAAGAAGAAATTAATTTTATTTCCGATCTTAAAAAGTTTGAGAAAAAGGCTTTGATTTAGTTCAAGTTTAAGGCTGAGGAAGCGGTTTTATGAAACACCCAACGCTGGTGTTCGTCTCATGGCTCCTCTGTAGAAATTTCTAATACTACAAAATATTCTAAATTTTTGGTGCAGGTAAATGTTGTTTTTTTTTATCTTTTTCGTTCTTTATCATCTTTTTCATCTGCAATTAAGATTCCAAGCACTCAACATCTGCAGATAAATGTTGTTTATTATCTTTTTCATCTTTTTCATTATTGTGAGGTTGAGGGTATTTTGTTATAGTATTTTCCATAAGTTGTATTTTCTTGAAAGAACTACTGTTATTGTCATTATTATTTTGGTTATGTTCTTGATTCTTGAAGAAATTTATTTTTGTTATGTGTCTTGGTGTTATGCATTGTGTAAAAGTTGTTCAAAGTTGTTCCGAATCATACCGTTGAGGATAGATTGGACAAGTAATTGTATTGAGATTTTGCTTTTGATTGAAAAAGCTAATTTACTTCCCTGTTTCATTGCTGGCGTGGACTCTGGAGGCCTCTACAATCTTAGACTTTGGCGTGTTCCAAATTAAAGAAACGTGTTAGGTTTTGCTCGGCGAGTAGAGAAGCAGAGGACCTAAATTAATTTAGATGGGGTATTCTACAACAGTATGAGACTTTAGAGCAACAACTGAAATTACAAAGGACCAGAATGGAATTGGTCAAATTGTGTTTCAGACTCCACAAGGCGCTTCAGCATGGGTGAGAAGAACTTGTTGATTGGTAACCGTGTTGTGAGTATCAACCTGGTTTGTTAACGTTATCACAAATTCCAAACCTCAAGAATATGTGAGTTCATATTATGTCATTATGTGAATACTTAGCTACATTCATAATTGATAAGATATATTTAATTACATGTTTTCATTCTATGTTTTGCTTGTATAATAGTTGAATTTAATCACTCTTTTGTCATGTTTTCAGCAATTTTGTTAGAAACAAATTCAAGTGGAGAGATACCAAGACTGGAATGAAGTATTGCATTACCTGTAGGTTTATTTATGCCACCATGAAACTTAACAATTTCTTATAGATTCATGTAACAAAAATTATTAGCTCCCTCTAATTAAGTGTTGAAAAACAAGAATGTAAATTCAATGGTTTTCTTTGTTCTATTAAAGCATCAATGTGTTATGAGTATCAATATGATTTATTATTTAGTATAATACAAGAACTAGAGGCTCTTCGTCTCATAATCATTAAAGCGGATATTGCGAATTTCGATGAAAGAATGAAGAATATATTTGTTGTAATTAGCTGTGGGGAACAAAATTTTAATGATTTTGAAGAATCTTGTTTATATATATATTGTATAGGTTGCATGTGTAGTTAATAATGTTTTGGGTTGATTTAGAATGATATTTTTTATACTCTTTTTTTAGTTAATGTGATATAAAAATGAAGTTGTTGTATAGTTTATTTGCTGGTTTCTTTGTGTTGGTTGTGTGCAGAGTTTACAAAAGTTTCAGCATTAAAATGACATTTCATTTATAAATTTATAGGAGAATAATTGTTATATTTCTTTTTACACATTTTTAACAATTTGCGGGGGTTTTAAACCTCCGAAAATAAAACTCGGCAATTTAAATAAAATACTAATTTTTTTAGTACATATGCTGACTCAGTCATGTCTTGTTTACTCAGCCTTGTCTTGTTGTCTTGCCACGTAGACGAAGTTAACGTTTTCACAGCCAAATTAATAGAATGGACCTAGTTAGCTAACAGAAATATTGTTAAAAGACTTATTTGTTATATTTATTACATAAGAGATCAAACTGAAATCTAAAATTAAGTTATAAGACTTCGACTAAATAAGTCTATTTTGTAATAATTATTTTATTTTAAATAAATTACTCATTATGAAACTGAATTAATTTTTAACTTTTTTTTGGTATATGTGCGTATTTTTAAGTTAAATTGATTTAAAATTTCAATTTATAAAAAATTATAAAATAGTTAGATGATGTCATGATAGATCCATATATTCAACCATTTGATGTAAATGTAAGCATGATGATAGTCGAGTACGGTATTCATGTGCTCGACATGTTCATTAGGGTCTACAATTCCGTCATAGGTCTTTAGTTTTAGGAGCTTCTCCAAAGATTTAAGAATATAACAATCAATGATGTATTTGGTGAATAGATTCATTCGAAGGTGTGCAGAGGCATTAGGATTGTGTTCGTATCCCTTCTAATAATGGTAGGAGGAAGATCTCATTGGACAATGATTAATGATTACGATGATTTTTTTTGTGGCGTATGGTTGTTGTATCACCTCTAGAGTCAAGGGGAGGATAGTTGTTCATGGGGAGGAGAGTTGTTCTCGTGATGATAATGATATTTTTTGAAAACTCTCATGCTCTTGACGGTTGTGACCCAACGTTGACGGAGAGTCCTTGGGAGGGCTCTAGAGTGAATGTGTTGCAACGCCTTTAGTTGAGTTGCTATTTGAGTTGGAATCTTCTGTTGGTTCTTTATGACACAAATGAGTCTCGCTTTTTGCTGCTGTAACATATTGAAGAAGTTAACATGAGTTTATTCGTGTCTGGTACTATGAACAATTCTTTGAGTTGTTGAAGGTCGTGTAATGGTGTTGGGACCAAAGGTTCAAAGGGAGGAAGTTGATGTTGCGACAGAGGAAGCGATAAATGAGGAGGAGAAACGTGATGTTGGTAGATCTTGGTGTTGCATAGGTTCTTTGTTAATTGAAGAGATAATTGGTGAAATGTTGTCTTAAAGGATGTGAATCATTAATCAGACATCAGGAGTTACATTACGATTGAGAGTTGCTTTTGAGTTGGTCGAAGGGAGCTGAAAGAGTGTTTACGAAATAATTATGATTGTTGAAAGGGTAACAAAAAACAATTATAGAGATTCAACGATGAAGATCGAAGAAATTTAGTGGAGAATTCTTAAAAGATTGAACATAACCACCATAGTAAAGCTCTCGGTGATCAAATAGAAAGTATCTGGAATATTAGTATTTCAATATCCATGTCAATATCAAAGTTAACATATTATCCTAATCGAAGCTAAGGGGTTCGAACCTCAAACATTTGGGTTCGATCTCTCCTTGAATCAACCTCAAATCCAATATTCACTTCAGTATTGTCCATTTAAATTGAAGAGCGTGGATGTTATAATATTGTTGGCTCCTAAATTCGACACCCATGTTTATTATCACATAGACCATTAATTATGAGTCAGAAGAGTTTCCTACATAAGAAGGCTTCGACCAACTGATCATGTCGAAGGCTCATCAAAGAATGACAAGATACTTAGGGAAATTACTTTAAGTTGGAATCTTGTTGTCTTCGACGTCGAAGGAACCTCTCGACAAAGGTCCTTGATGCCCAAAGTCGAGCGGTTTGATATTTGAATTGTTGGAGGGAAAACGGTTCCCAACAGTTACCAAGTGCAACGTGTCGAGAACATAGGCGTCGAAGGTTGTGAGCGTGCCATGTGGCGTCATCTCGAAGCGGTGTAACTGCCCAGCGGTTACTTAGGATTTTTCTTAGTATAAATACTAAGTTTTTATGTAGTTATTAGTGTGTTCATCATTTTATACAAGTCACTCATTTAGATTCAAGTACCCAACGTGAGAGAAAGAATCATTGAGAATGTATGTGTGAAACACCATTTAAATTAATCAAAATCTTTCATATTCAAGCAATTTACCGTTGTTCATTTATTTAATTCCGTCGAAGCCTTTTATTTAACAATTCCTTAAACGCGTTTATTTATTCTATCAAGCTTTTCTCCATGCAATTTACTTAAAGTGTCTTTACTTTACTGGCATTAATCACCATTAGGATTAGTCGAACTACAACAAATCAACCATGTCTTAGGATCAATCTGATCGATCCTGCTAGTCACCAAATAAGTAACCTTTTGGAAGATCAGCGGTTGTTTACCATTTTTCCCGGTAAACAAATTGGCACACCTGGTGGGACTTTGTGTTGATTTTCTCACGATTAACCGTTTTATATAATATCCTCCTTTTTCGAGAGTATTGCATGTTATAAAGAAGTGGTAGGATATACACCAACGAAACCAATACTAGGAGAAGAAGTGAAGAAATGGCGAATCCTCCAAACAACGGAGAAATCCCACAGACAAACGTGGGAGCAACGGTTATCCCAACCGTAAGTGAAGTGGTAACCACTGGTTCAACGCCAGCAGTAACGGTTACACAAACGGGGCCATTATCTCCATTTACAGGCCCCAGAATGCCTTTGGGAACTCCCCCACCAAGGGGGAACCAAGGAACTAGGCCATATGTTCCCCCAGGTTTTTCGACAGTCGGTTTAAATCGAGAACCACTCTATGGCATGCCAACTTCTGAATTGGCTAGCCTGACGAATGCTACGTCCACTTATTCAGATCCTTTAGTGAGCGCCTCTTCGCCACTCCAAGGCTCTGGGGTTGGTATGGCGAACAGGGGTAGGACCCAACTCTTAGGAGGAACGTCCCAAGTAATGCACGACCTTACGAATGCCTCGACAGCAGTCTTGAGGCAACAAATGGACGAAAGCAACCACGACATGGTTCAAATGTTGGCGCAAACTTTAAGTACAGTGCTAAATCCTCTAATACAGAATACCACCCAGTCGAATCAGCAAATGACAGCACAAATGTCGCGTCTGGTTGACTTTTTTGGGGTACCCCAACCTATTCGACAACCTCAAAGGGCACAAATAAGGGGGAACCAAGGCATACTTCTAGAGGAAGAAACCACTATTAACCAAGTCCAGCAGCCTGTCGAAGAGAACCTTAGGGTACAAATGGAACAACCCGGGGTCGAAGAGCCTAGAGTTATAGCCCCGAAAATAAGGATGGTTAATAGAAACCAAAACGCTGACGAAGTAGTTCAGCAGATCCAATACCAGAATGTTGGTTTGGAGAATAACTTGACAGCCATGATTGAAAGAATCATGATGCAAAATGGGATGAATACGGGCTTCCGTAGGCCCAACTTCACCTCCCCGCTGTCAGAATATGTGTTACAAACGGACTTGCCTCCTAGATGCAAAGTCCCTAAGTTCACTAAGTTTTCAGGGGACACCACAGAATCCACTATCGAACATGTGGCAAGATATTTAATCGAAGCAGGAGAAATTTCAAACAATGAGAACCTGAGGATTAAGTATTTCCCAAGTTCCCTAACAAAGAATGCGTTTACTTGGTTCACAACTCTCCCTCCCAATTCGATCCACCATTGGACTCAGTTGGAGAGATTGTTCCATGAGCAATTCTACATGGGACATACCAAGATAAGCCTGAAAGAGTTAGCCAGTGTAAAGAGGAGATTCACTGAGCCTATAGACGAATACCTAAATAGGTTTAGATTGCTCAAGGCAAGATGCTTTACGCAAGTGCCAGAACATGAGTTAGTCGAAATAGCCACAGGAGGTCTAGATTACTCCATTAGGAAGAAATTAGACACTCAGTACCTGAGGGACATGGCCCAATTGGCCGATAGGGTTCGACAGGTAGAACGCCTTAAAGCTGAAAAAGCCAGGGCGACGAAAACTCATAAAAGAGAAAGGATAGCGTATGTCGAAATGGACGAAGAAGATCCAGAAACGTTCGACGAACCTATAACCGTCGAAGAAAGTGAGGTCGATTTAGCTGAGTTAAAACAAGGGCCACCATACTCTTGCAAACTACTAGTCCCCTCAAGTGGAAAAAACTCCACTGGTTCTGAAAAGGCCAATGATAGGTTCCCTAAAAAGACTTACAGTTTTGATATTACGAAATGTGACGAAATTTTTGATTTACTTGTAAAAGATGGCCAAATGATAATACCCCCAGGGGTAAAAGTGCCTCCTCTTGATCAAAGAAAGAAAAGAGGCTATTGTAAATATCATAACTTTCTGGGCCATAAAACATCTCAATGTTTTCTTTTCAGGGATCTCGTGCAGAATGCTATCGAAGAAGGGAGGCTGAAGTTCGCTGATAAGGCCCCCGTGAATGTGGATTCGAGCCCTTTGCAGGCGGAAGCCCACTATGCTGAACCTTCAAAGGTGAATGTGATCGAAGCTTCCAGAAGTCAGGTGAAAAGGCCAGGGATAACTATGGTCGAAGTCACCAAAGATCATATCAATATGCCAAATCTTTGGCAGTTTTTCTGGGAACCTTTCTAGAAAGACAATTGAAGCAGTCCAAAAGGCTGCTGAAGGTCCAAAACTGGAGACAGTTGGAGCCTCAAAATCTGGAACTAAACCCGTTTCCTACTTGGCTGCAGTGCAAGGCCAGAAAAAAGACCTGGAGGCTCAAATGAAGCAAATGACTCTTGCTACTAAAGACAACATGAATGTCAACATGGTCGAAATCTCTGAATCAAAAGTTTCAAAGGAAACCATTAGGCAAGAGCAAGCAAACAGAACAGCTTTTCCTGTGGAGAACAAAAACCTGGCAGAATTCTTGCAACGATGCCAGAAGAAAAAATCAGAAGTGATGTTGTGTCCTCGATGCAGCTCTATTTTTGACAAGAAAGCTGCTGAACACATCGAAGGTGTGAGAGCAGCAAATAGAAATTGGAGCAGAAATGCCCAAAAAGGTGCAGGCTCTGATGCTCTACACGATCCCAGAAGAACCTACCAAAAGGGTTCAAATCAGGAAAGGAGGCCACCAACTTTCAGGCCTCCAACCAATGTGCCAGTTGATACATGGCTCAAAACATCGAGTCGAAAGAGACCCAGCGGTGAAAGGTGGCATTCCTTTGAAGTGCCAAGAGGTTCATCTTTGACACTCAAGAAAGAACCTCATGTAGGTGCCTCCAAAGTGACCCAAGTATCAAGTAACTACAAGGGAAAGAACCCAATGTCTCGATCCCAGTGGAGAAGATACCAAAGGCGGCGCAAGGCTGAGAGAGAAGCTGTCAACGAACCAAAACCAGAGTCAAGTTCAAATGTCCCCCAGCGAAAGCAAAGAAAGCCTTTGGAGAGGGAACCGGTGTCCAATAGGCTAGTATGGCCTGAACAAGGCGAAGCTGGTGACGAAGATGGCTCTGAGTCTGACGACACATTAGACATCATAGTAAATATAGTTTTAGTTTTGCCAATAGAATTCAACCGCCAAATGGAAGTCGAATCGAACGACTGGGAAGTCGAACAAGAGATGGCCAAGCATAGGCCAGTTTGCTACTTTGTCATGGGTAATGGCTGCACTGAAGAGCAGAATGGTTTCTTCGAACCACCAACTGAGGCGATGAAAAGTCACCTCAAGCCTTTATTCATAAGAGCAAAACTCGAAGAGGCCACTGTAAACAAAATCTTGGTGGACTGTGGGGCAACCATCAACATAATCCCCCACTTCATACTAAGAAAAATAGGCAAGAGTGATGAAAACATCAAGCCTCATAATATGGTCCTATCAAACTACGAAGGCGGAATAGGGACCACCATGGGTGTGATTCAACTGGACCTCAAAGTGGGATCCATCCTTTGACCAACCATGTTTATGGTCATATCGGCTAAACCAAATTACAACCTATTGTTAGGCTGAGATTGGATACATGGTGTAGGAGCAGTACCATCATCAATGCACCAAAGGGTGATATTATGGCGTCCTGATGGAATTGTCGAGAATATAGAAGCAGATCAGAGTTACTACTTAGGCGAAGTAAATCACCTAGGGAGAGCTGACTTCGACAAAAATTTGGCTCACATTGGGCCATGTTCAGCACCTGACTTCGACATGGCGCCAGCGCCAAATGCTTTTTGTTCCTTGTAC